CCACCTCCATCCCCCTCTCCGCCATCACAGCTGAATCGTCCTCCATGACACGACTTCACCTCAACCTCATCAGAGAGTATTAATCCCAGTTGTCACCATCCCTCGTCTCATCGCATTGGTCCGGCAGAAGACCACCATGTTGAGCCCGGTTCTGCCAGAGGTTTCTTCCCAAGGGGGAGTTTTTCCTCTCCACTGTCGCTTCATGCTTGCTCATCATGGACAGTTCACGGTACCTGCATCATCGAGCAGGACCTCTATATCCCGAGTCTGAGTGAAGCCCCGGCGTCAGCTCCCTCAGTCTTCTAGTCCCACAATTCTGCTCAGCAGATCACCTTGTCAACCAGCTTGGACAAAACCACCACCAGTTTCAGGCCGGGGGGAACATCCCTATTCTCATTCATCTACTCATGCATGTTAAAGCATAATTCAGCATGAATTGTTCTGCCGAGGTCTGAGCGCCAAAGACTATACTTTCTTATCAATAAATTCTTCTAATTATCTTTTCTCTCTGTGTGAGTTTTTCAGATTGAAATATTAGTTGGAATTTGTAAACCTCCATTAATATGTTTAAACTTATTTCTAATTATAGATTTAATTTGTTCATATTCTAAGAATTTATTTTTATCAATGACATATTGCAAATTTAATATAGCAAATGTGATAAACTTAAAAAAATTATCCAGATGTGTAATACCTTTAGTCTTCCAATACGGAAAGTTTATCTTAATATTATTTTTTAGGATGTCAGGATTATTTCAGATGGATGTACGACTGCACGGAATAAGTGATGACTTTTTTAAGAAATTCCCACCATGCTGTCAGGGAAGAGCTGATGTTAATATTTTTAAAACATGAATGCCGCTTGATATTAAACTGAAATTATGATGGGGATTATGTTGAAACATATTGAAAGAAACTCACAAAAAATTATTTTGATTCAAACACTTTATTGTCAAAAAGAAATTACAGTTAGCACAGACAGGGATGTGGTTATCAATATTTTCTGCATATTTTTTCTCTCTTCTTTGTAAATGTTTCATGCCTTCCCATTACACCTTGGTGGGAAGAATTATCTGCACATATATGTGTTGTCTGTCCATTATCTGCTGGCAAAATGGCCCTTATTAGTGTGTAATCATTTTTCACCTCCCACACACTTGAAAACCTGTTCACTTGCAAAAATATCAGTTGGTTTGTTTCTCTTCAATCTTACCAGAACAAGAGGATCAGCTGACAATCAAATTCAGAAAGTAGATCCAACAAAAGCAACACATAAAATCTTTCTTTCAGTTTGTATTTTCTGTAAAGTGAGTTCGTCTTGTTATATCACTAACCGACAGATACTTTTAAAAACATGCCAATCCTAGGAAGGGCTCCCCTTGAAGAATGCTGGATGACAGATTTAATAAAACAGACGAGACCTGCTCACATTTCACATGGTAATAAAAGCATTAAAGTTATTTACAGTTGAATGATTTAAAACAACTGTTTTAATAGATATATTTACAACATAAAAATATACTTTAAATCAAAAAATGGTTTTCAGAACCTATATCATTAGTTTCTTCATCTCTTATTTCAAACAAAGTGCAAAATATTAAAAAAAATCTGAAGTGTCTTCGTAAAACCAATTTAAAAAAAAGGACACTCGGTTTCTGCTGTTTTTAATCAGCTTCCTTCACTGTGTCTTTGTTTATACCAGCTTTGTTTCTGCTCTCTATCAGGCGAACTTCAGGAGGGACAAGGTGAGGAAGCTCAGCAGAGGCAGCACAGCTGGAGGGAGAACAGAAAGCAGCAAAAGGTGTTAGTGACTGAAATAAAATCACAAAAAAACAGGACAGATTGGAAAACTATCAACTTGCAGTTTGATATTAATTTCATGTATTAATGTATATGTTGGTATCTGCATAAAATCTGACCTTTAGACAGTTTCTAAGCTTCTGGGAAGCAGAGAAATCTTTATGTTAATTTAATCTAATTAACCAGATTCTGTGCAACGTAAAAAGTCATTTGTTTTAGATTTATTTTAGTTTTTATTTATAGATTTATTTATTTGGTATTTATTTATAGATTTTATTTTTTACTGTTTTTTAAGGCTGCACTTAAAAACATGAAATTGTCCAGAGAGCTGTTCTTAACGAAATTTCTTTTTGTTTACACTTGTGTATACAAAATGACAAAATAAATCTGTCTAAGTCTATGTCTATTTAATTTACAGCAAAGCAGAAACTTTAACAATTTAAAATGAAATCAGTGCAGTAATTTGTTCGCTTTTGCAACATATTAAGATCCAGTTAAATCAGCTTGTAGCACAAAAACATTATTTTGAATATAGACAACCTAAATATGTGCAGAAAGTAGACCCAAATAGGTCAGTCTTTATTTACCATTAGAGGAGACAGGATGGTTGGCCCCATTTGGTGCTGCTGTGGAGTTTGTTGTGGAGTTTGATAGGAAGTTGGCTAGATTTACACTTTCATTCTTAGCAGACACAAAGGCTGAAAGTACCCCTGAAAAGGAAATCGAAAATTAAAAAATGAGCAGAATTTCTTCAGCATTTCAAAAAGCTAAAAACAGATAGGATGTCCTATGTACATAGAAAAGCGTTCATAGTCATGCTCTTACCTCCATTGATCGAGCCACTCCCGATGACCACAGTAAAGCTGGTATCCTCAGCGGCCCTGGCTGAGGACCCGACGGTGGTCACATTCAGTCCACCAACCGTAAACACACACTTGATGTTGTCCATACTGACATTTTGTGCAGTAACTGAAATATTCTGTGAATTTGAAATCTGCCATCAATACCACAGTATTGCATAAACACTTTGTGGATAAATTTGAAGACAAAAGTTTTTTTTCACATTTTGTAGTTGCTCATTTTTACATATGATTTGTCAAAATGGATCTGTTTATATGGAATTTACATTTTTTTAGTATTATAAAAGCATATTGTGAGATTAAAGTGCAAATGAATAAATTTAGAGATTATTTGTTTTATCACTGCTTTGTAGTGTATTATTCTCATGACTTGCAAGGCAGTTATTACTGTTATAACCCTTAATTTAGAAATGCAATGGTAAAAATGAATTCAAAGTCTTACCACTGCTGTTTCTGTGAGGTCTTTTGTGCTTTCATTGAATATCCTTGCTGTGGAGAAAAAGTTCACGTTTGATGAGCTGTTCTGACCACAGATGAACAGCAGGGTACGCTGTAGAGAGATGCAAAGGCTAAAGGTTACAGACAAGTCAAATCACAGCCATGAAACAATAGAGGGCATATGTCAGAGTCTCTCTATTAAAGGAAGGCATTAGTAAATAAAAGGATGGAGCCCATCATTTTATATAAGTCCATATTTAATGCAGTTAATGTTTTAGTGTCAGTTCACAAAAAAAGTCATCTACAGGAACTTCATATGAACTACAATTCATATTTAAACATCAATCTTTGAACTAAAATATTCTTTCTGTCATTATTTGTGGACATTAAGATCTAAAGAGAAGCATGATATCCTGTAATTCAGTTAAAGGGTGGAGTCAGAGTTAAAGAAATAAGCATGCCCAGGAGAAGTCAGAGGTTGTCAATCAAAAAAGAAAAACCTAGTTCTAAACATTATTCCAAGTTACATAACCCAAAAAAAAAAACAGTTATATTAAATAATAAAAAAAGGAACAACATGTAAAAACAAACAGAAAAGCATTCTGATAAGCATTTTTATCGTTGCGGTAGAACGTTGTGAAGAGACTTTTGAAATAATATTTAAATTTGAAAGTTTTTTTATTGTATTTTAATAAAATGTATAATAAAAAAATAAAAACATTGGTATTAATTTTATTTTGCTAATATATCAACAAAACCTGACAAATCCTTTGTTGATTGTTTTTTAAAATTCTTTAATGTTCTTAGATTTTTTCATGACACATTCCGACCATAAAGGCCTGTGGCTATGCCATATCCAGCTGTTGTTTGCAGTGGATTCCTGTTGCTATTGACTCAGACCATTAGGATATAGGGGTTGGAGGAAGGTCCGTCTCTGGGACTTGGGAAAACATTTGTTCAGTGTTTCAGCAACTCTAAAATTTGATAACCATTAAACCTTAAATATTGACGTGGTTTCTGTGAGTCACATGTTACAGTGATCATTTGTCTTTGTAAAATCTCTCACTGTTGATCCAAACTATTAAACTACTGTAGTTTAATTTACTTTTAACCATCTAAAAGAATTTGTGATTTACCTCAGAATTACGTGGACTGAGACCAATGGCGATGTATCCTGAAGAGTTTCCACTGAGTTCAAAGGCCAGGTCCATGCCGTTTGGGATGTTTATAGCAGTGGTATCCACAGATCCAAAAAGACAGGTCATATTGCCTGCAGGGTCACAGTCGGTAGGTTCCTCCAAACAAAATTTTGCAGAGTCACATCCTGTCTTGGTAATGTCAACCTAATTAAGACAAAAACACATAGTCAAAGTCAATAAACAGTCAAAGGATAATTTAACTTATGTTGAAGTTAAGTACACCTTAACTGACCCAGTATCTTTAATGTGAAAATATAACAGCATATATGACACATTAAATGACTCAACACAAAATATTGTCTTATTTATATTTTTTTAAATCTGATAGAAAACTGACCACCGAAGGTCTCCAGTAAGGCCCAAAGAATTATGGCTAATGGTTAACTTCTGTCGCTGTGTTGGTAATGTTAAGCTCTATGTAAACCATCAGTTACTCTTTAACATCAATAAATCAAAAGATTTTATCCTTTCTTTGTTGCCCTATTTTTTTTTCATGAATCTGGGTCTAATAAAGTTTTTTTTTAGAAGTAAACGTTTGAAAAATCTCTGTCAAAATCTTCAGTTTGTAAAACTGAGAGGAAGATATTTGAAGGCTCAGATCTTTAGCATTAAAAATCTAATGATTTTTTTCTGCTTTGAAGAACAAGCTGGTCATAAAAAGGTGGTTTAAAGCATAAAAGGCTTGATGATGATAAATACTAACCTGTGACGACACTGGCTTGAAACTCAGAGTCAGGAAAACCATCATTGTGGCGATAACCTGGATCACTGTATGCTCCATTGCTGTCAGGAAAATACATTTTATTTACACAAAGCTTTATTTTTAGAAAGAAAACATTAAAAATGTTACAAAGCCTTAAAAATATTTTAAGTTGCATTATTACTTATAATTATTCTGTATTTTATCTGAGCGCAAAACACCCCCGAAATGAAATAAACAAGTTAGAATTTTATTTTTTTAAGGTTTCGATTATGTTTAATGAAACTGAATCACAATGTATTGAGTTTAATGAAAAAAAACGTCACATTTAACCATCTGCTTAATATTCATTTAATTTCAAGACTCAAGCGAAACAAACTTTGTTAAAGAAATAATGAGATCTTGACTTACTTGATGTAGAGTTGAAGGTTAAACGCTGGGTTGAAGCAGGGAGAAGTGTTTTCCGCTTTAGGAGCAGATGTCAGTGCTGATGCTGTGGAGTTGTGTTGATGAGGGGAGGCTGGCTGAGCTTTTTAACATCACCTCGGAAGGGGCGGGGCTTTGTAAGAACACCTGTGTCACCAGCAGGGTATGATTAGTTGTGTCTTTTGTCTTTCTCTCAGCGGAAAACGGTTTCTGTAAAACAAGTTCTTCCACTGACGGGAATTTATTCTCTAATAGAGCAGAATATAAAGATCCTCAAGGGCTTCTTTTAAAGATTTACTTTACTCGTCTGTTTGGTTTGTCATACATCACTCATCATCATTTTGTCCTCGATATTTTTAAATAATAGAGAGAGAAGACACCTATTAATTAACCAAAGCCAAGGTTATATAGAAGTACCCAGTATTTTAAATGTGTTTCAGAGTATTATGAATCCAATACAGCAATAAGATAGTAATGGTTAGTTTTGGTTATATTTTGCAAAGCTTCTAGATTTTTGTATTTAATATGGTAGACAAGTATAAGTCTTGGTTTCAGTCTATTCTTTGATAAATGACTGCTTTCTAGAGTCGGCTGGAGAAACGTCTCAGAGCCTTTTTGAACAACCTGGTGAGGGTTATGCCCTGGCTTCTTAATCAGACTTTGACTAGGCCACTTCAAAACCGTCATTCTGGTTTGATTAACATTCAAATGCGTACTTGTACTTTGGATGGTGGTTCTGCTGCGTAACCCCAGTGCTGCTCAAATGACATTTCTTGCTACAGAGCAGGATTCGTGGTTCCATTGGATACAGGAGATCTTTCAGATCAGGTCCAGCAGCTCAACACAAAATGTAACTACTATGGTGTTTGATTGTCAGAATGATCGTATCCAGGATGTTCATCATCCTAAAATTCATCCTTTATTTCCCCAATATTCTCTGTGATCATCAGGCTGTTTGTTGCCAGTGAATCCCTCACATGGAGGCTGTTTCTGCCTCCGTCTCTTTGTTATTCTTGAATTAACGCTAATGTTAAGGAAGAATTGATGCCTTAAGTGTTTCAAATGTTGGTCTGGGTTTTTTCTGATCTTCGGAATAAAACATTGAAGCCCTCCTCTAATAATTCTAGTTGGCTGGCCTGACCTCCATTAGGTAATATCTGATTTAAAATGAGTGCAATCTGTTTAAAGAGGCTTAATTCATAATTAAAAATGGGTTTTGATAAAGAGTCTGAATAGCTTTGATGGTCTATTTTATTAAATACTGCATTTTATATTTCTTGTGTTTTCTTATGCCAGTTATGTTAAACTGGCAAACAGATTCAGTTCCTGTAATCCATGTATTCTTTTTTTAATTTTTAAACTCAATAATCTACTTAATGACCTTTCATCAAATTTCTTTCATGTTGTAGTTTTCATAACTGAATAACATATAAATTGTTTAAAAATGGAATTAGCAGGTAGAACCTAAATTAAAGTACATGTGATAACATGACATGAGGGACAACAATCGGAGTCATTTTTAATTTTGATAAACCACATTAGAAGATAAGCTACATTTTTTCCAAGTGATTGAACCACATGATGATTAGTTCATAACATTTGGAATGCGACACCTGAATCATCCCGCAAAAACTTTGACGTCATTGTGGAAAGAAAACCTGCTGGTTTGGTGCCATGATGCCAGAGGGGGAGGGGCTGCATTCCTTATTGACTGTTTTATTGTTTTACCTATGAGAAAACTTCTGTCTTAGTCATTATGCTGGTGGATTTTTTTTTTTTACATAGTTTTAATGATAATTTGATTAAACTTCAACAATCCAAACATAGATGTTTCTCCTGGAATCTCATTTTAAACAGAGAATCCCTGTCCTTACAGTCTAACTGGATCAAGTTTTTCATCCTGACAACCACAGCAACACAGGAAAGAAATAGATTGAAAGAAAAATGTTGGATATAATAATACAATCACAAGAAAATAGCAAAAAAGAGTCCTAACTTTACATAGTTAAAGGCAGTCTTATATCATAGGGGAAGTTACATTTACTTTTGTCCCTCTTTTTTCCTCATAGTTGTCTATAAATATCAGCTTTGTTACAGGAAGAAACAATGAACATGTGATGAGCTGCCTTTCAACAGGAACTTCTAACATAAAAGAATGAATTTCCCTGTTTGAAGGCCTATTATTTATTTAAAGAGAATGATAAAATGCATGTTTTTTACAGGGGAAGAGGGCCTTACAAATCAGTGATGGATCCCTCACTAAGACATAAGGAAAAAACGTAATATTTGAATCAAGATTTGGAAGTAAATCAGGTTTCATTGGACTCAGTTATTGAACTGAATGGAAATTTAGTCTTTTTAATTAAGGTCTTTGGATTTTTCTAGCTGATATATTTTTATGGTATTGACTTATTAGGTTGACTACTTCAACTAACTTCCAACCAACTTTTTAAAAGATGCCATTTGTTTCCTAAGTGTGTTAATTTAAGAGCTTTGGGAGACAAATGCAGGATTATAGAAGGCGTTTACATGTTATTATTATCTAGAACAATCCTGGTTGAAGGTAAAACTAAACAAACAATTTTAAAAAAAACATCAGTAATAGGATATAAAAAAATGAGCAATATTAAAGGAATTATAGAGAAAAAACAAGATTAGAGCATTAGAAACATTTGTTGAAACATTGTTTTTTCTTTGGGGTATAAATGATGACTGGTTCAAAGTGAACAAGAAATGCAAACTATAGTTGTTGCATTAAAGTAAAGACAATGTAAAAATAGAAACATGAAAAATTCTACAAAAATACTCATTTATCTTTGCAATAAAACAAAAAAAAAACAAAACAAAACAAAAATCGTTAAATGAACTATTTGAAATCTTTCCAAGTAAGTTTGAGTTGCCCATAATTGCTTCAGTAATTACTGGCAAAAATAATAAACTAATACATATAAACCATTAAAGTGAGCTACTTCATTAAATAAAGGCCTGGTTATTCATTGGTATTCCGTTGACTTCAGTATTTTGATTATGTTTCTTAAGCCAACAGGCTGTCTCCAGTTTTTGTTTGCTCTTTTTTCACTCTGAAGTCCTTGTGGCACAGTTTAAACAGACCGAGCCCTGCTCAGTTAGGCTTGTTTAAAGAGCTGTAGATCACAGACAGACCATGAATCGCCAATAAACAACAATGAGGCTTTTCATGCAAGAACTTCCATGTGATCACTGGTCCGAGCTGCGCTGCCATTCAACTAGACGTTATTTAAATAGGTTCCCTTGTTAACGAGAAGTCAGTCTGCTATTTAACCTGCAGAGTTCGTGTTTATAAAATCAGGCTAACTCTTTATGGAAAAGGCATGCTACTAATTAGAAGTACTTATTGGGGTGTGAACAACTATTTGGCTCTGAATCCGGTTGATTTGGAGTCAAAAGTAAGAATGTTTGTACAACAAGGAGGAGCTGGATGTCAAGGTCACCTCAGAGGTCAACACCGCTGTTTAATGTTCTATCATTATAACACAGAGACGGTGTCCTGTCGCTTTTCTCTGCAGCCTTTTAACCATGCACTTTTACAACCATTTACACCCTCTGTGTCTTATAAAGATGTTTGCTTGGTGGTGGATGAGTTTATCATAGACAATAATCAGTTACCCATTTGTGGTGCAAATGTCACAACAATCTGATCTTTCCTTCCCAACACATCCTGGGGAAAATGAAAAACAAAAAAACCAAACAGAAGTTCTTTTACCCTGAGCCATTTTCTTCTACTAATCTCCTTTAGGGCATTATTTGAAATTACCTTTTTAACGCATTTCTGTTATCAGTGAGAATCTCTCTCCTTGGTAGATCCACTGAAAGGGCAACTGCTGCGGTTAACTCCTTGTTTAATGTCTTTGTTCCCATAGAAAAGGTTCCTGGCTCAGTGCTTCTATGTTTACTTGCGTTTCTCTTTTTTCAATGGAGTCACTTTTCTCAAAACTTTCCTATACAGAAACCAGCACCAGTTGCTGAGTAATCCCGTGTTTAGCAAAGTCTCTTTTGTGAATTAATAGGAGGAACCATTGCTGCAGTAACTATGTGCTGTGTTACCATAGAAACTGCTCCAGGTTCCATGCTTCTGTGTTTCTCTTTTCATCATTCATGTACAAAGTACATAAATGTGTTTTAATGTACAAATCCAAATGTGAATAGGTCAACTTAAATCTCTGGCTTATTTCTTTTTTTTACTCGACCCACTGAATACATGAGGACGCAGTGTATATACCCCATGGACCTTTTCCTCCTTTTGCCACCTTCTTTAGACTACTGAGCCAATGTGACAAATAAATTTCTCCACTGTGAGATCAATAAATCTTATCTTATCTAATAGATCTTTTGGCATCATTGTTTTTGTGAGCCTTGTTCTCTTTCCTCATAGAAAGCATCCATTTGTTTGAGTCAGGGGCAGAGTTATCGTTACCATTCACTCTGTAGGCTCATTGTTATTCTGTCCCATAGGAAGTGTCCCTTGTTCAGTGCTTCTGTCATTAGCTGAACTTCTCTCTTTAGATCCATTAGAATCTGCAACTAGTTTGACCTCTCGGTCTTATAAGAGACATCAAAGTACCTTTATTGTAAATTTATATTGTCAAATTTGAATCCCCTTTTGCTTCACTGATCTCTGCCTCTACCTCGGTTTATTATCATGGGTTGTGCTCTTTCACTATTTGGGTCACTTCTTTAACAACCACACATAGCTCTAATATTCAGATTCCTTTTCATTTTATGACTCAAAGACGTTCCAGTCCTCTGAGTTAGCAACTCTTTAGGGTTACAGATTAATAACAGACTTATTTATTTTTAACTTCCCAATAAGAAAGAAGGAAAAGCATAAAACGTTTACCTCATGTCCCCAGAAAGGGTGACAGGAGAGCTGCAAGCAGACTGTATGTCTGCTAACTTTCTATGTTGATGTAAAACTGAGATTTACTTGAGTCTAAGCGTGAAGAATTTTAGCACATTTCTGTTCAATTCTGTCATGCCAAGCCTATGAAATGTTTATTGTGTTATTTGTGCAATGCTTTGCTAGCTGAAACCTCAAATATATAGGTCAAGGTTTGGTGCCTTTTTGAGCATCTGCTGGTCGACTTAAGCAGCTTTGAAGGAAATGTTTT